CGCTCTTCCCATCCTCCCTAATCCCACTGCCCACCAGTAACCACTGTTACAGTTGGCTGTATATTTCTCCACATCTGTTTTTATGCATTTAAGAATGGATGTTATTTACCCATTCAATGTGTATGTATTGAACTCCTTCTGCCTTCCAGGTATTGTTCTGGGTACTGAGAACCAACCAATGAGCACAGGCATGTCTCACGTAGCAGACAGTGATAAGGGTGTGGACTGGTCAGCAGGTTCATAGACTGGAAAGTGCAGGGCAAGGTGAGGGCGAAGGAGCAGCACATTCCCCAAAATGCAGGCTTTAGTCAGGGAAGGCCCAGAGGACAGCAGGGAGCAAGCTATGGGGATATCTGGGCAAGAGAGTTCTAGATAAAGGGAGTAGTAAGTTCGAAAGCCTGGTTTGGAAGGAAGGCCAGGATGATGAGAGCTGAGGCAGAAGGAGGGAGGCAGGTGAGCGATGAAGTCACAGCAGCTGCAGAGGCAAGTCACCCAGGGAACTGCGACTTTGAATCTCAGTGAGAAAGAAAGACCATGGAGGGTTCTGAACAGAGGAGTAACAGGGGGTCTGACTTACATTTTAGAAGAATCACTTTGGCCACTCTGTTGAAAATAGACTATGAGCATATGTGGATAAACGTATTTTAAAATATTTATCATTACAATTTGAATAGTGCCACAATATATTATTTTAAATTCTTTTTTCTTTTTTTTATGAGAGAGAGCACATGTGCATGCACAAGCGCACAGGAGGAGGAGAATTTTCAAAAGGGAGAGAGAGAGAGAGAGAGAGAGAGATAGGTGTTTTTGACAATCTCACAGTCCTCTGCCCAGCCTCCCAGCTAGCTAAGATTACAGGTATGTGCCCGCATACTCAGCCTTTTTAGGTTGGTCTGGGATCTGAACCTGGGCCTCCCATGTGGTCCCCAGACTCATGCAATGGCGCCCTACTTCTTATGTCGCCAGCTGGGCCAGCTGTGGAATACATCCTGGGCATTTGTACTTGCTAATAGGGTATCTGCTTTATTTCTTTTAAAGCTTCCTGGTCTCTGTTTGTTTTATCATCAGTATTTATCAGCCTTATCGCTCGTGCAGGCACTGACATCGTTCATAGTTTTCTAATACAAATGAGTGCTGCAGTGAATATTCTTTGTGCACATGGCACAAAGGACAGACTTGTAAAGTACAGTCACTGGGTCAAAGAACATCCTCTTTTAAAACTTTAATAGATCCTGCCAAATTTCCCTTCGAAAGGCCATACCAATGTAAACTCCTTCTAACATCACATTTGAGCATTTATCGCCCCACATTCTTGCTAGCAAGAATATTTTTAGTTTTTGCAAATCTGATAAGCAAAAAGTAATAAAATTATTTTTTTATATACTAGAAAGACTGAGCATGCTATCTTATGTCTATGATGATTTGGATTTCTTCTTTGGAGAACATTCATATTCTTCTCCAGCTTTTCCATCGAATCGTTTGTCTTTCCAATCCTTTTTTTAAAATATAAATTTTAAAGTTTCAAGTTACACCAAAGAAAAGAATCCTTTCTGATCATTTGGAGACTTTCTTGTC